TTGGAAAATAATTAGAGAAAAAGTTAAACTGAAAGTTTCCGGTGATTATTCGGATTTTTCAGGTTTTTCGCCTATATAGCCCCAGATGAGAACAAGGTGAAGAATGTGTTTGTCAAATGCACCAACTGTAAACATACGCGGCAAGTGACGTTTGAAAAGAGCGATGATGTCCTGAGTGAGTTTCCTGGGTATTCTTTTTTTGTTTTCGTGATATTAGGGTCTAGGACCAAATGCCGCGTCACGTCGTAACCAGTGTTGAATCTCGGGCCAACGCTAGCGCGGGCCAAGCTTTTGATTGCTTGGGTGTGAGGGTAGTAACGACTTGTCTTGGAGATCATCAACCGGCCCTGGAGTCAGTGTAAAGGAAATCGCATGTTTTGTCCTTCCATAGCCTAATCCTCCCAGACTTTCTTGCCTGAGAGTTCATCTAGAGGTGAGCTGGGACCCCAGAAAGCAGGACTATTTGGCCAGAGCCTATTTGGCCAGCCAAATCCAATAGATCGCAGCGCTCTGGTGACTTCTAGATTTCCTCTGGAGAGCTCTAGAATCTCCTTGCGCGTGGTAAAAGGGTATCATGGTTCATAGCAACTAAAAATCAGGTGGGAATTCTCCTTTTATCCCTGTGGAACTTGTAGTCCGAATTCTATCAATATCAACGCATGTCACCCTCCGCCTTTCCGGGTGATCCCTGGGATTTGGGGCACTATAGAGTGTAGGACCAACCCGAAGGTATAGGAGTTCCTCGTGAGTCTCGCGTCAACTAGCATGCTCGGAGGGCGCACCCCGTAGCCTTCTCAATCTTGGCAGGAAACCCTCTTCAGCAGTGGTGGGTATGCCATCTTATACTCACTTGGCCAATAAAAAAACTTGTTCGCAAAAGATGTTGTCACACCTTAGAGGGCGGCCTAACACAAGGTAATGCTCAGGATGCCTCCTTCCATCCTCAACTCCTTCGTCCTCTCAGTCTAAACGGGTTCAGGGAAACTGAGGTTGGCTCAGTAGTGCCTTTCAAAATGATTAGGTCGGGAATGACTCCAAGAGCATGTGTTACTGTTAAGGTTATTCCTGGACCGGCGTGGAAGACGTGATCATCTATTCCCAAGACAACGATGGTGATGAGAACACGATGCTCTTCAAGAAGAACATATCAGAGGTTTGTTCATCAGAAAGTTAATCATTTAGTGCAGATTTTTGCTGTTAAATGACCGAACTATGTGTATGCACATAATGGTGACCTAAAGACACAGTCGCGAAAAGCCACGGGCAAAAAAATTTCCTTCGACCAGGTAGCGCGGTCCACAACCGCGAACAATAGCCCCGCTGTTGCTTTCATTTGTATAATTTTGAAAAGAAATTCCACGCTGACTGTATGGGCGGAGTCAGGCTAAGCATTGTGTTATCCTTATTGGTTCCTCCTCTCAATAGTATATGTTCTATATCAAGTCTGATTCCTCCCATATGATCGGCGTAGGCTGTGGCTTTGAGGGCGTCCACGCAAGTTGTCAAAGCATATCATAATATAAATCAAAAAAATCAAATAATAAATAAATAAATAAATAAATAAGTGAACAAATAAATACATAAATAAAGCTGTAAAGAAATGGATAATTTAGCCAGAGATCGCTGCGCATCCAGAGAAGCGAACGGTGATTTCCGACCGTCTGGGAGTGAAAGCGATCATCAGTGGCAATAACCACAGAGATAAACGAGTGCTGATCGGACTCAATGACGAGAATCCAGCGTGAGTTTTCTGCAGAGAATCCTGAATGGAGAACGTTTTCTTTACTGCTGCTTCCCTGCAGACCCACAGTTGGTCAGCTTTTTCTTAAATCCCGCTCCAAAGGGCCCTGCAGTCCTTTCCACTATATTCCAAGACAGTTCCTCAACATGGGAGGTGGGCGGAGACCTACAGTCACAAATCTCATTGGCAAAAACACTAGTACCCCATTGTAGGATTGTGAAGAGGAGCGCCTTCCAGTCTTAATGGCACGCTGCGCTCCTCTTTGCAGTCCTAGAATGAGAGTGGGGAAAGGCCTTGTGCATGCGAGTTCCCGCCCCATCTGCTTGTGGTGGAAAATGTCCCTGAGTCAATTTTCATTGCATTCATTTACCATTCATTTATTTATGATGTTTAGCTATCACAATGTGTATTCGTTCGACTTATTGACTGACTCGATGACGTTAGTGATGAAGAACAGCCGTTTCCCGGTGGTGGTCGTCGACAATGACCTAAATATACGTCTGGCTGGTGAGCAACAGGAAGATGGAGCGCTGATGTACTTCAAGTAGGTGATCGAAAACCCCTTTAAAGAGGGAAAGTCCATTTGAGGGGCATTTTCAGGCTCACCGATAAAGCGAACCCGGTATTGCTTACGTCTGACGAAGCAGATTGGGAGCAATACATACTGGTCCAACCAGACGACATGGCGATCACATCGTAGGTTTAGCTTTGACCAATTAACTTTCTATAGGGTGCTAAAGAGGTCATTTTCAGGCCAGTCGCTTTCGACAAGTCCAATCAGAACATGTACTGGCTGTGGGGTGATGAAAACACCGATCTTGGTAAGTTCTGTCCCGAGAGGGTTACCTGAGAGTCGTAGGAGACGATTATACTGGGCGATCGGCGACCGTCTCGAGTTATCCTACAAATTAGAAAGCGCTTCAGTACAGGGGACCCAGAAGATGATGGGAGCCGCACAAAACAATTCGATATGTCGCGTCGTCGCGCGCGGCGCATCGTGCGGCGATGTGCGGCTAGCTCTTGTTCTTTTGGTTCAGTTTGTCGATCGGGCTCGTATGAATATTCAGGAGCATGACCCCTGAAACGAGCAAAATAAGATTTTCGTGTCCCTCAACATTCAGTTTAAAGAGGCATCAGACCACTTTCGATCCACGAGAGCGGCGTCGTTCGCTTACGCCACCAGCTGCTGCATAATTACATTGTCCTGCTTGCATTCGAAGAATGGCGTGGCTTGTCTTTAGACGATTCCGCCTCTTTTCGTTTTTCCACAAAATGAACCACTATTCACATGAGCGGCTAGCTTGTCGTCATTCGCCGATATAACCCCCACGTAATTCCTATTAATGTTATCACAGTGCTTACAAAAGAAGCATTAGATCTCCTGGATTCCCATTTGACCTGTTTGATCAAAAAAAGTGCCCTGTACACGGCTACAGCCGTGCTTCAAATCGGTACCATATATGATCAAATCCGACCGACAAACCTTGCTACCGTTCACTGAGGTAGGATAAACCCATCAATATAACAAAATTTGCAGTTACTTCAAAAGCAGTTTAGGCTCGTTATACTTTGCTGCCAGCGTCGTAGCGTACGCAGCGGAAGCGTGCGATTCCACGTACGCCAGCGCAGGCGAAGACAGAGCATATCGATCTACTTCACCAGGCCTCACGCGGCACGCCTGCGTTACAGCTATAGCTACTGCCAGCGTTTCTCCAGTTTCACCAGCGTTTTGCCAGCGCTTGCAGCGGCAGGGGAGTAGAGACTATGTGGCCGTGAGAGAAGCGGAATCGACGTGTATTGTAGAGACCATATGCGCGGACGAGCAGCAACTATGTGCATTTAGAGCACTATGTGGCGTCGGAGACGCAAACAATTGCCATCGTAGAACTATGCCCGTCGGAGACGCAGAAGCGATGTGCATTGTAGAGACTAAGGGCGAGTGGGAGACGCGCAATCGATGAGTTTTGTACCCTCCAGCTCTCCCATAGTCTCTACTCCCCTGCCGCTGCAAGCGCTAGCAAAACGCTGGTGAAACGGAGAAACGCTGGCGTACGCTATCGTGCCGCTAGCGTACCCAGCGTGCCGCTCGTCGTACGCTGTGAATCTAATCGATATGCATCTCTCTCTCGCACTGCGCTGCGTACGCTGAAAGCCTATCTTACGCTGCGCTACGCTACGCTACGTGCCCCGCAAATATAAACGCAGCTTCTTACTATGCTGAATTCTCTAGGTTTATCACAAGCGGACTATTCGGTCCAACGATACTGTTACTTGGACGATCTACAGTATCTGGTGAATCCCACCACGACGACTCGCTGCATAATCTTTCTATGAGCTAGCGTTCAGTCTTACTCGTCCTCTTCACTTGAATTGTTACCTTCATATTCTGCTTTACATATAGTGTTTCAATGACAACAAGGCTCGTCACTTTACTGATCGTCAACAACCTCACGAGTTTTCCTTGCTACCTAACCTGTGAAACGGTGACGCATTCTTATTTCCAAGTGACTCCGAAGATCGGGGTTATAGTAGAGCATAGTACGCTAGTAGTGGAAGAAAAATAGCGATGCCAATCGATTTGAGGCAGCGTTCAGACTTCGCGATGACTCGCGTCGGCGCGCTGTAACACGTTGTAATGCGCGTCGACGTGCTACCGATGCTGTAGGCGCGAAAACAGCCGCAGATGGGAATTGATTTCTGCACGTGAGATGGTATAATCTGGTACCCTACTGTTCCTCTATGCTCTCTCGAAGCACTAGCAGCCAGTGCCGATTGACATCAGACTACGTGATTAGGCAACCCGTACCCTCCTGTCTACCATGCTCTCTCAAAACACAAGCGGCTAGCGCCGATCGATTCCCGTCTGCGGTCGCGTTCGCGTCTATAGCATTGGAGTGATGTTGCAGCGCGTTACAGCGCGTCGACGCGTGCTACAACGCGTTACAGTGCGTCGACTCGCGTCATCGCGAAGATGAACGCTGCCTTGGCTGAAGCCGTAGCCAAGAAGAGGTTTAAGGTGTGATGGCTGCCTTCAGCTAGGGCGACAAAAGTCGTAATAGTAACTTGAATGAGCAGCTCGTGAAGGCAATGGTACTGAGCAATAAAATGTGATGCTTAATGATAGCGGTGTTGAGTGGTACTGTGCCGTGGAGAACCGAGATGAAGTGCAGATCCCTGCGAGCGACAGATATACCGAGGGGCTTCATTTCACATCGAAAATTGAACTCAAAATTCATAATTTACCATGATTTCCTTTTTTCAGGCTGAATTCCTCTTCAACACTCACCCAGATCTGGAAAAATATACATTGAATCGCCAGGTCGGCTTCGATTTCAAGACAAGAGACGACATGGTCTTGCAGGCTTACCTTAGTCTGCCACCTGAGGTTAGATTTAGATAGAAATGGGCGCAGTTTAACGACGGGGAAGGGGGTACTTGGAAATTTCTCTACTTCCCGTCGGCGTGTCAAGCCATCTAGGGAATTATTTCAGGAACTTACAAGAGTTGACAGGTTTCGCCATGGTGGCTCGACGAGCCTGTCCAGCTTCACAAGA